TCTCCAACACCACATTTCGAAGCTTTCCAGGCGTTTCTTATCTACTGCCCTAAGTGTCCAAGTTTCAGCCCCATACAAAGCAATGCTCCAAATGTAGCATTTCACTAGTTTCTTTCTCAAATTTAAGTCCAATTTGCTGGTGAAAAGATTCTTCTTCTTGTTAATGCAGCTTTTGCCATGGCAATCGTAGATTTAATTTCACACGAACACCTTCCATCATCTGTTAGCAAGCTACCCAAATATTTAAAACATTTCACATTCTCCCGTTGTTTTGGTCTATCTTTATTGTGACTGGGGTTGGTTGTCTCGAAATTTTCATTACTTTTGTTTTTTCCACATTCATTTCCATGCCATAGCACCTTCCAATTTCGATTAGTCTATCAATCATACCCTGTAGCACAGTTTCTTCCTTAGCCATTAACACAAGGTCATTGAATATTTCACAGTTTGAATACTTTGCCCTCCTAATTTGAAGTCTCCAAGCCCGTCCAGAGCTTCTTTGGTAATGCATTCGCTGTATAAGTTGAACAAAATTGGTGATAAACAGCATCCTTGTCGAACTCCTCTTCCAGTCTTCACACTTCTTGTCTCCCCTCTGTCCAGCCGCACTCTAACTTTCTGTTCCATGTACAATTTACTAAGCAATCTTCTATCACGCCAATCGATGCCTGTTTCCTTCAGGATCTGCATTAATTTGGTCCAATTTACACGGTCAAATTCCTTCTGCAAGTCTATAAAGCAAGCCTGTCACAATATAGAGTAAAAAATCATCGCCTTCGTGTCGATATCTCTGCAGCAGTTCTGAGGTGATGGCTTTTCGCTGACCTTTGTGGTCTTCGGTCAATAACCGCGGGACTCAACGAGCACAAACTTTCCTATAGCACAAGCTTTCATTCATCTCCTGTACTGCACTGTGCCCTATTCCAAGTTTTCGGGCTATTGTGTCCACAGTCACACGCCTGTCATCTTGAATGATCTCATCCACTCTTTCCTTGTTGTGTTCAGTTGAGGCTGTTGGAGGACGACCGCTCCGAGACTCATCTTCGGTACTGGTGATCCCATCTTTAAAATGTTTCACCCATCTTCGAACACTGTTCGCACCCATGCACACACTTCCATAAGCACGCTGAAGTCTCTGGTGAATTTATGCAGCAGGGATTTCCTCTTTGACAAGAAATTCGATGACAGCACGCTGGCGAAAAGACATATCATTGTCTGCCATTTTGTTATGAGTGATAGTATTCACGTGATGCAAGATATTGACGTCACAAGACACTCAAGGTTAACACAACAGCTGGTTCCACCTACCACCGTACTCTCTTTCGTCTGGTGTTCCCAAGTTGCATGCAAAAAAGTTGCTCATGACCTTCGGTACGACCTACGTATTTTGTACACTTCTTTCTAAATATTTTCATACTTCAAAAATATTTTTAAAAGATTTTTAATCCACTCGGTTCTCCCGGTACAGTCGTTTTTATAAGAGAAAAAAAAAGCGTTTTCGGCTGAAATGGAGGTTTGCGTTATCTTCTATATCTCGATAGCCATTGATGCTAGAGATTAAAAAAAAAACAATTTGTTCCTCATTATATGGACTACAATTTATGCTATTACAAGTTTTCACTCAACTCACTTCCTCTAGGTCTAATTAACGTTGAAACTTACCTTTCGATTTTGGGGGGGGGGATATTTTTGACCTTCAAAATCCAATGGGAGGGGGAAAGTATCAGATCTCTGTTTTCTTCCCTTTGTTGTTGTCTACATGGGGAATATAATCACGTAGTTTTGAACCCCGTATCTATTTTCCAGGAGCTTCCAATCTTTGCTCTGGGCCCAAAATCGCCATTTTTAACATCCCATATCTCCGGTGGGGAAGCTCTGAAAATTTTGAAATTCGTAGAAAATAATGTTCCATTTTAGGGTAACTTGGAGTTAAAATTACAACTTTGGTATTTACTAATAGCGAAGTTGTGATACTTTCCCCCTCCCATTGGATTTTGAAGGTGAAAAATAACTTGCCCGCCGGTTACCATCAACAATATGCAAATACCGGTCAAACCCGAAGTATTTTGGATTACACCTCGGCCAAAAATTAACATGGCAGAAACACGTCGAAAGAAAGCGTCAGAAATTAATTCTTAAACTACAAGAAATGTCCTGGCTTTTGGGCCGTAAATCCAAGCTATCCATAAAAAACAAACTTCTACTATATACGTGTATAATAAAACCCATATGGACATACGGTATATAGCTATGGGGCTGTACAAAACCATCAAACACAAGAATAATTCAGAGACTTCAAGCCAAATTCTTGCGCTCTGTAACTAAACACCTTGGTATGTCTCCAACTTTACTATTCACAATGATCTGCAAATCCCATTTGTCATAGAAGAAATACCACATAAATAGATTTTCAATATTCTACCATCAAAGCATACTTGGACTCAATAACAGACCAGTTGTAGAAATCTGCAACCCACCAAATGTAAGAAGACTGAGGCCATCTGACCTACCACAACCCGCAGATGATGAAGATTAAAACCACTCCTCTACAGGGCCTGTCAGAGTATCATCAGTGGATGCCTTCTCTACTCAAGACACCTTTCCCCCCCCCCCTTGGCACTACAGCCCCAGTGGGCCTGGGCCTACCTCCATGAACTTCTCCGTTCACTTTGGTTTATCTAGATCTTACAAATTCGGTAGGACTCCTTGGGCGGGTGATCATCTCGTCGCAAGGAGTCTACCTGTACACAAACACAGAAAAACGCATACACACAAACTAAACATCCATGCCCTGAGTCGGATTCGAACCCACGATCTCGGTTTCCAAGCGAGCGAAGACAGTACATGCCTTAGACCGCTCGGCTACCGGAAAAAATCCAATTACCTTATCGGGATTCGATCCCGTAACCTTCCGGCTTGTAGCATAGTGCCTCAACCAACTACGCTACCGTGTGGCCCATAGCCAACTCAAGACACCTACTTAGGACAAATTTACTTATTACTCCTTATTATCGATAGTAGCTTGTAAATATGCTATTAATGAAATAAAAAATATAATTAAGATATGAAACACTGGAAAGAATTTATTTAAAAATAAATGTAAATGCGAGTCCAAAGTTAGTTGTGGGACACAACCTCCCTTGAGGTTAGCTGGTAACCAAAATGTAAAATGAGAAAATTGACTGAGATCAGAAATAAAAATGGTGCAACAATGGTGGTAGTAACACTAACTGAACTTGACTTAAGCAATATACGTATTGCAGTTTATATGTTTTATTGAACCCGCGTACCGCAAACACCTGGTATTATGTGGACACAGTTCTACGTTAGTGACAAAACTAAATTAAATTTCACATCCACTGCTGTGAGAACCTCGCACAGTATTTTACTGGACTTGAAACCTTTCACGACAGTATGGACCTCGCTAAGTAACAGTTAAAATCGACCAGCCCTTACTAAATTTATTCATCAAGGGCTATACAGCCCTTTGTCGGGCCCTGACCGTTTCTCTTCTTTCGTAGTCCTATGCACGGTTAGTAGGACTCCTTGGAGAGTGGATCAGCCCGTCGCAAGGCCGCTACCCAAACAGGACAACACAAACACGGAATAAACACGTACACAGATATACATGCTTCGAGTGGGCCCTACTACAGTATAGCCACTAAACCTAAGGCATACATGTGGTTCGACTTCATATCATTAGGTTCAACTACTCAGGAAGAATATGATCAATTGAGCTGAGCCATG